CATCCATCCATCCACCCATTCATCCATTCACACATTCATCCATCCATCCATCCACCCATTCATCCATTCATCCATCCACCCATTCATCCACCCATTCATCCATTCACACATCCATCCACCCATCCATCCATTCATCCACCCATTCATCCATTCACACATCCACCCATTCATCCATCCATCCACCCATTCATCCATCCACCCATTCATCCATCCATCCTCCATCCATCCATTGAGTTGAAGACAAACATGTAACTTCACTAATGTTCCTGTTCCATTGTTTCCATACCTGACTGAGTGTGGAAGCTGTGKTTAATCAAATGTAACAATATGGAGGAGAAGGAAACCTGTTGATGCAGTAAACCAGTGTTAGCAGAGCAGGAACCTACTGACTGACTCCCAGTACAACTCCTGGTTTTCTTTGACATGTTGCCTCATGAGTTCTGGGTTTCTGATTCTGAATAAGGTGGGAGCTCCTCACTCAGGTTTGTCTTTCAGATTCTCTTCTCTTCTTTTCTTTGGGGTTTCTAGATCCAGGGTCTGGAATGGATGGTCTCCTTGTACAACAACAACCTGAACGGCATCCTGGCTGATGAGATGGGGCTCGGTAAAACCATCCAAACCATCGCTCTCATCACCTACCTGATGGAACACAAGAGGCTCAATGGCCCTTACCTSATCATCGTCCCTCTTTCGTTAGTACCCTTGTCTTCTGTCTGACCTCTTTGTGTTACAGCACAGCACCAAAGTGCATCATGTTCACAAGCACTGCAACATAATCTAACCTAACCTGAGGTCCAAAAAGACATACCTCATACAGACTCATGGTATAAATCCTCATACCCTCATACAGACTCATGGTATAAATCCTCATACAGACACATGGTATAAATCCTCATACAGACACATGGTATAAATCCTCATACAGACACATGGTATAAATCCTCATACAGACTCATGGTATAAATCCTCATACCCTCATACAGACTCATGGTATAAATCCTCATAC